AAAAAAAAAGGAATTTCAAAAAGATGAAGACTCGTGGTGGAGGACGACGGCGACGAACTTTCAAACGACGTAACAAACAAATTCTCTTCACTTCCTGATTTCGGCCGCCATTAGGCTTCACCAAATAACAAGAAGCGAAATGTTGAAGCCTCAGAAGAAGCCGATAGGGGCAATGTGGTTTCTTCATCGTATGACTGGCATCTTCTCAGACGTCAGGGACAAGTAAAGGGACACTCTCAAAGCGATGTACTTTTTATATGGTATAACTAGGACCGACTTGGTTTTTTAAAAATTGAACATCAGTGAAGTAAGGGAGGTTTTTGTGAAAGCATGTTTTAACTGGAAAACTACTAGTGACAGGTAAATTTCTTTTATTGAAGAGTTCTTTAGAGGACGCTCTGAACTTTGGCAGTAACTGGGCCACTATCTCTTCCCCAGAGGGAATTTTTGACTTGTTTGCCAAAGTTCCACAGGAATCACTAAAATAACGAGGTTCTTGGTAATTTAGAGGGTATATCTTCAGTCCCAAGAGATCCGGAACATTGAATAGATGTGATGCTCAGTGTAATAATTGAATGAGAACACATTTTCAAAAGAGCGAAATCCCTTGAATAGGTTTGACTAATAGCTTTACTGGAACAAAAGCAGACAATGAGCCACCGTTACTCTCATTATAACACACAATGAAGTTTCTAAAGATAATCTCTTGAAACTTCGCGGAAACTGTTAACGTCCGAGTTTTGCACATTACTGCACGGAAAAATGGTTCAGTATTAAAAATTGTAAAAGCATGGACACTCAAGTATAATATCGATAAAAGGGGCCCTGTGTTGAGCTTGGTGAGCTCCTGACACTCTTGGCACTGAATGGTTCGCTAGGGCGTTAGGGCAGGATCTTCTAGCTTTCATTGCAGTCTCGTCACCGTGAGATCTGATCTATTCCTCCCAAATAGATGTTTAGATATAACAACTTATTGAAAGCCTGCCGTTTCCTCCAGACAGTCATTGTCTTACGTTAGCACGTCGAGTGTTCTAGGCCAAAAATCCCGAATGAATGATCACAAGTTGAGTACAAATTCACCCAAGCGTGTTCAAAAGTATTCTCTATCAGTATGCAACAGATAGAGCAGGGCATGCGGGGATGGTGGATCCGTCAGGGATATTTACATGAGTAAGCTGATATTGTTGAAGGGAGCGGAACTCTGTGATGAAAGGCTGTCAAAACAAACGAAGTCGTGAGGAACTGAGCGATTCTTACCAAATCTGTCATTAAATTGAAAACTTGTTATTATGCTGATAGTTTCGCAACCATACAGGCTAGAAAATAACTACTTACGAAGCGTTTCTGCGCCTCCTCCGCTATGTTTTGTTGAATGACTTTGTTATCCTAACATGTTTATACTTTATTCGCTCAATTCGAATGTCGCACTGAATGATCAGAAATGAATAATTACTTACTTATCAAGTAAGTGTCGCACGTGCAGATTTTAGAGAGCTCTAGACATCAGCAATTGCTGTGNTGCCGGCGCCAGAGATCAGTGCCGCACACCATCACAGGCATGACCCTGGGATCGGTTATCCGAACGGTACCTACACAGATCGAAGAAACCTTCCGTCATTAGGCTTGATTGACCGGTACCACACCCATGTGGGAGGATTGGAACATTGACCTGTAAATTGGCTGACCATGGCATGCAATTGAACGGTTCTTAAGGGAATTCTAAGGCCTGGGTGCATCCCAAAAAACTGAGCCCCCGAAATATCGCCTTGAAGTCGATCCTATGGTAAAAAACCTTGACAAGAAAATCCAGAGATCTGAAAAATAATTTTTATTTGCATAATCTGCAACGATCACGATATGGGCGATTCAGTGTTATTCATACAGAAATGAGCTAAAGCTCATGACAACATTCATAGAACACGATTACAGCTGAAGAACAATGTTTCCAGTTATTGACCTTTCAAATTGTTGTGTATACGTCAACGAGAAATCCAAGTCCACCTGAAATCGGTGTATCAACCGAAAAATTTGTTAAAGTAGGTGAAAACGTGGGAAGTTTGTCAAATAATTTTGCGGTTACTGAAGATGTAATTTATCAGGAGCTGAAATGACGGGAAGATTTTAATGCTTAGAATCAATTTTATCGAAAAAGGCCGATCCAAGGCCAGCCAGAAAAAGGACCCGTCCAATATAACAGGATCAAAATCGAATGATGGAGGGCCTGGGACTGTGTAGCGTATGTTCTGCCTACAATCAGATGGCAATCCAGATTTTATGATAAACTCAGGATAGTATTGGAGCGCGCTAGCCCCATAAGCACTACAGATACCTTTCAAAGATGGATTAACCACAGGAGTACCCAATTTTTTATACATTGCAGTAAATTAACATACTTGATTTCATTGTTTTGATGAGCATTTTTCAAAATCTTGAGGAACTGTTTGAATACCTCGTGAATTTCATCCAGTAAGAGCACGTAGAGCATCAAATACACTGTGGCTACAGGGGCCAACGGTGACACACCAACCAAATCGATTGGACCTTTGTCTTCGAGGCGAACAGAGGCTTTCTAAAAAAGAAGGACAAAATTTACACAAGTGACACCTCAAAAAGGTTATCCCTTCACAAAAGAAGGATGGTCCATAGGGTGTGCTGGCAGGTGATTCGAGCTAAACTCAGATTCAAAGAAGTCTTCTAGTGCCTAATGAGCCCATCGACGTCTAGTCACTGAGTTTCACCCCAGATCATTTAGCCTACGAGATTTACTTCCAGATCAGAGTGAAGGAAGCAGAGTATGGCCGATACTAGTAAGTAAATAATGTAAGCAAAACAAACCTTATTAGATGTGCTCATGCTCAATCGAAGATGCCTAAGTGTGTCCACATTTGCATTGATAATCGCTACTATAAAACTGCGAGTAGTAGGATTTGGTTGAGGGACGCAGCTGAAAATCGTCTTCTGAACACTGCACCGATTTTTCGATGTAGAGTATTTGAACTTACTTATATAACATTATAAGGATATTTTGTTTGTTTAGCACCGTTTTTGGAGGCGTGCAAGCTGGAACAAAGATTTTATAGCCACTTTCCATTGTCCATCTCTTTTTAAGATTGAACTATTTTCAGATATGCTATCCTATAGCTATNCTACACAACTTTTAAGGAATAACTTGGAAAAAAGAGTTTTACCCAAAAAAATTCACCTATTTGTACTGATCTTGGATCGAATGAGATCTTTTCTGGCAATATTGAAAGCAATTCGCTCTGAAAAAGGTTGAAATTCATTTACTGGCAGATATCCCATCGGCGAAAGCAATAATCAAAAGAACCCTTCGACAAAGATTCAATTTTTTGTGGGTCGCGCCATGCGTTCGATTCACATTCGACAGTGACATTTGCTTGACCTATACAGAAACTCAAACTAGAACTTCAGACGATATGCACAAGTTAGTGTTTCCACCGTTCCGAACACGTCTGGCATTAATTCAATAACATCATGAAAGTAGCAAGTTCGGTTGGCTGGCCCATCCACTGACTGCGTGCGCTAGCTCCATTTGTCACTATGCCATCTGAGCCCAGGTATGTAGACTCAATATCCCGGTTCTCACATCGAAAAAGGCTTTGTACATAGCCACGATTTAGAGCATCATACATACATAAACAAAAATATTATATAGTCGTGCCACTGGGATGTCACTTGATGATGTTCAGCGGCCAAAGCGATGTCTTCCTAGAACCTTGAAAAACTGTAAATATGCCCCTAGAGTAGCATTAATAGCTATGAGGTCCCTATAATGGAAGTCAGCAACATCAGAAGCCGAAAACTCTCGTCATTTCTTTTTTTACAAGCTGTGAATCGTTTGAAATTCAGTTGTACAGAATGAATTCCTGGGAAGAAATCGTTTGGCTGCATATACAACTGGGATTTTCCTTTCATAGATGGAACCTTAGACATTCATAAAAGTTGGACTAGGCGGAACCGTGCATAGGTTGAATTAATTTCAAAGTAGTCTCATGACTTTCTAAATTGAATTTTGTATCTTCAAGTGCCCAAACACATACCTCGAAATTAGATTTTGCTAGAGCATCTAGCGGACTTATGGAGACATTTGAGACCGATGATGAAGTGCAGAGATCATTTAGGGTTGGCTTGGCTGGCTTAAACCTGAAAGGTTTTTTTTGTGTTTCTTTAACAGCAAAAGACTTTTCTTTTCAAACGTACGTAGCTGGAGATGCTGGTTTTGCAGCAAAAAGATCCCCATCGATCAGGGTACTGAGATCGTCTAAAACGGAAGCAGTCGGCTGTGATGGTGACTTCACTTTTCTCGGTAAGGCTGGGGTCATGGACTGAAACGTACACCGTAAAGCTACCTGAAGACATTGAAATAGTAATTTGAAAAGAGAGGTTAATAAGTTGTGTTGACTTGATGTTTTGTTAACTCGTAACTTGTGGCTTGTGACTTGACTTGTGCCCGGTTAGCACAAATACAGATTCGAATCCCGTCCGAGGATGAAGTTTTGTCCATGAATCACCTTGTGGGAGGTTTAATTTCCACGCTCTCCTGACTATTCGAAGCTAATGCATCGGACACCTTAGCTTGTTTCTTTTTTCATATCTTCGTCATTTAAGTTACTGATAAGTAACTGTTCCTATACGACGTAATCTGGAACGAAACTTCGAAAACTAGCTGTTATTCCCCTTAAAACAGTGGTAACACGCTCAATACCGCATCCCATGGGTGTTTCATGTTCTCTAGCAGCCATCTATTCTAGAAAATTAGTTACCGGTGTCAATTAGTGGAATTGCCGAAGGAATGAGCTCTGTTCTAAATGGCTACCAACAACCCAGACAGCAGTAAAACGCTCGTTATGAAGGATCACATCATCTTTGAACAGCAGAATGAATAATATGACCTTTTTTTCAAAGAATATGAGTCCAGAGTAGTCCGAATGATATCACCCGTCTGGGAATGTTCAGAAAAAATTCACTTCATTTCAGAAAACCCTTTTGAACAGGTAAAATGCCTTCGAGTCATCAATGGGGTAATAGAACATAGCACTGCGGAATAAGAAGAATCGCCCAGATGGCTAGAAAGCCGAAATACAGACACCTGTTTGCTGTGAAATTGATTGTACATAGTCTTAAATGAGATTTTGAGAGACAATAGGCTCGAATGGAAAGAAGCGGGCTCGATTTTTCATCTTCGAAATAGCTAGGTAAGAACAGACATGAAGCCCAGAGGAGCATCCCCCCACCATCCAGTTACCTCACGTTTTCCAAGCCAACCCAGTCTTCGAGCAAATCTCAATGAGGCCCGAATTACTTATGTAACACCTCATAACTTCGTTTTTCACAGATTTACGGGCTGACATGTAAGGCAGCGGGATCAGACTGACCAGGGTTCACCTCGATTCATGCATTACTTTGTATAAGAATGGCTAGACAAGGCTGAGCTATGAACACATGATAATCGGACCATCTGCTCACCCTGTCAAATCCAATGAAAGGAACATCTGCGAATTCTGTGCTGGTACTCGTCATATCTTTACATTTCTGGTCCAAAAAATCGTCTGTAGTGAAGTCTAATGGTACGGTAGATGATGTTGGTGCAGCAAGGGCTTCACCGGTTTCGGGTCCAAGTAAATCTGAAACGGAGTTGAGAATGAATTTGAAGCTCTCTTTTTTTGATGGAGGTCCATTTTACCTGCAGACTCTTCAGAAGTTCCTCCATTATGTTGTCGGAGTCGTCCCGTTTGCGAAAAATTACGATATTTTTGGATCAGCTGATTCACCTTGAATTTTCTTATTAATCAATTTTTGGATTATACAGACAAAAGAGGAAAAGCTGAATGAGTCGACGTTTGGATTTTCGACTTTTTCTTTTTGATTAATTATGTACGTTTAACCAATAATGTTTTCAAAGCGAAATTTAATTTAAATGGATCCCACTGGGTTCAATTGTTCCGAAGAAAATGCTCACTTACGGTGGAAAGTGAACCACAAAATTGTTAAAATAATCTGGCTCACAGAAAAAAAGCTTTGAACCGGAGGCTATTGAATTTCTTCAGATTCCAAAGCTCTTTTGGGCTATACTCGATCACTATGATCCCTTTCTTTTGATACAACCAGTCAATCAAGTAATATTGTACAAAAGAGGGGAAGTAAATTTCTGGAGAGTTAACAAACCTGAAACATGGTAACCAGTTTGAAAATGCAGGGCCCAGGTACCGATGGATTATGTAGCCAACGGACACGGACCTCTGAGAAATCGGCGCGAATCTAATCAATCAACGTCGCTGGTGGCAGCAGCTAGAAGAAGGACGAGATGCTGCGGCTCAACACGAGCCCGAGATCGAACATTCAAACGAAACAATATGCAGCCGAGTACATAGCCGAAGGGATGTCATCGGCTGCTGACGACGCTGTCACTGCCACTGCCGGTTGGCGATGTTGGCTGGACGGGCTGGTGCAGAAGTCGCTGCTGTCGGCGTGGTCGCTGCTGCTCGGCGCCTTCTCAACCTCCCACCTCCCACCTCGTGCAGCTCTCAATTCTTCCGAACACGACAACGAAGCATCGGCGCGGCTAATTTGTTTTTCGCCATCACGCACTCCAACAACACTAATCCTCATTCATCAATGTATTCGGTGGAAGAATTTCAGTCGACTCGTCCGCACAGGCATCCGTTCGTCCTCCCTCTTGTCAAGGTCTGAGATTTATCGCCCTGCACACTGCAGTATCCCGATGTAATGGCCGACAACAGTGGAACGGGGAATAACCGCGACCCTGGGCCCAGGATTCCACTTCGTCAACACAACGCGACGGACGGCACTTCACAGGCACAAGGGAAATTTGCAGTAATGCAATCAGTCGCACTAATATACTTTGGACCACTGCAACAACAGCCCATGTATCCAGCTTAGATCTTGGCCGAAAAGTCGATATTCTGCCAAAAGCCATCAAAGAATCGACTGAAACCGGATTTCCATGACTTTTATATTACTTGCTCATCGAATATTCTATGCCGGCACTGAGTGGTGGAGTTCGTCCTTCCGACGTAAACATACTATCGCGGTCTGGCGGAGTGGTTACTTGAATTCGTGTCCCGTGGTTTACTCTTTCGTTACAGGACCCATTTCCACTGGCATTCCACTACCAATGAAGACATCATCGAAAAATCGATGGGTCTTCAGTACTGGGTTTGGTAATCTTTGTCTCAACCAAAGAATTGAAAACAAATCGATGAAAGGGAAAACAAGTTGGGGGGGGGGGAAGCATCCAAAGGAATACGTAAATGACTTGAAACCAAACAAGTGGCTCAATTTTGACGCTCGTTTGCGAGGAACAAATAGAATGCCGCTTCAGCTCTGGCATTTTTGGACTTATTTGGAATAGTAGCACTGGTAATACCGATGACTGCCCAAGAGTAGGTCCCTCTAGCTTTTACTCGTTGTAGTTGAACTTCCTTGGCGGTGAGGACAACCACATTGTCCCATAATAACCTAAAAGCACATTTTCTGATGCCCATTCTACCACATATCCTGTTTGTAGGATAATGGCATCTCCATTTTAGAACGTACATCATTCGTATTATTTACCGTTTCCCAGAGAGGACCTGATTCCGACTCTTCCGTCACTTCCACAGCTTCTTTAGTGGGAAGCTCCCACGATAGTGTCTAAGTAGCCAAATGTGCAAGAATCCCTGCCACGAAAAGTGATAGGAAAAAGTTGAGTGAGAAAGCTTCTCAGAAGCTTCAATCTAAATAGATATGGAAAGATCGTTTGGCAGGATGTCCCAGTGTCCCCATCATTAGGGTGAGCCCTGTTTTGGCCAATTGTCGGTTGAATAAGCGTTACCTTCACAGTTCTCACCTGATCATTGACCGCCAGTATTTCAGCCAAAGCCTCTTCGTCGTTTTCCGTTGCATCGCTGGCGAATCGAAACAGATGTGGTCGTACGGTCATTAACTCGTCTGCCAACGTCTGGAATGGGATCGTAAATAGCGGAGGGATACTTTGGGCCCAGGTAGCCACAGCTAGGTTGAGATTAGATTCGTAAAGTAGTTCCTTGACACTGCAATCAGCATGGTTGGCATAGAAATAAAAATTATTAATGATAGGATCCAGATTATGCTGCTCAGAAATGCCCAATGCGGATGAAGCGTTACACCTGAGCAAGTAGTATGGACCTTTAACAACGATGTTATTGTTAGTACATTTTTGGGACAGTTTTGGCAGGGGGAAAGGAGTATAGGTGACTAATCCCCTTTCATGAAGCCGTCTATAGAATGTGCTGCGCTAAATTGTCTATAAACGTCAAGCATAAATCAACCAGATATGTCACAAAATGAAAGGAAGAATGTTCAATTTTGAGGGTGACGATTGGATTGTCATTGCATTCATCAACTGTTTTTCGAGCTATTCCTTGCTACCATACTGGAAGAATTGAATGATATCAAAAAGTAATGAAAGATTCTGAAAATATGTTGTCTTTCTGCTAACAAACTATTCCCCCCATCTAAACAAGACTTTGTTCGGCGATGAATTTCTTGAGTTTGCGGTTTCGAGGTCTGTATATGGTTTTACTACTGGAAGAATCAGTACGATAGGATATCCCAAAATGAAATAAAGAGTTATCCAATGTCAGAGCAGCACTTTTGGTCAAATATCCTGTACTGCACAATGTACATGCATGGTTTAAGCTGGCGTGAACAGGGCTAGAAGAACATCTGAGAGAGTTGGTGAAGAGCCTCTGAAAAGGTAATTAGTATGACGGCGCTCTGGCCCCCGAATCCGTTACCAAAGCCAGGCCTTCTTTCACTGCGGTAGCGGAATACTGTGTTAAAAGCCAAGATCTTGGAGTGGAGGTGGCCGAAAAGATCAGGTAGACGGGGTNAAAACGATACTGACCAATTTGGTCAGAATTGAGCCAGTTATGCTTTTGCGTCCTCCTTACAGCACGATCACTTAATGATCCGGCGAGTGTTCTGCGTTGACTGATGAGTAAATTCATAAATTGGTTGAATAGTTATTAGAAAAATTTGGAATTGTGAAAAATATCGTTATTCTGATAAACTCCCTAAGAAAATGAAGATTTAGCAGTGATAGTTCCCTGGAAATGGGTGTGGGAAAGGGAAGACACAACCAACTATCAAAGCGCATGAGCCAGTGAATATAAGTGGCACATCAGGTTACTAGCTGATGGAGAAGGGAATCGAGAGCACCTCGGTGGGCCATCCTCTATAGAGACAAGATCTAAGCAGTAAAATAATCAGCCATTTGTTTGAGAACAGGACATTTCAGGGAGAGAAGCATGGCCATATTGGCTTTTCTGTGGCACAAATGTCAAAGAAAAACAGTCGGCATGTCAAATTACTCTCGTGAGAGGAAATGAAATCCTCTGAGGTTTCCTGTTTCCTTTCAAGGAAGGCGACCGTTGCCAACCTCTTTCTATACGGTGAGTCTGAGAGCGAGCGCATGCATTCGAGAAAAGCTGACAAGCCTGTCTGTCTGTCAGTTCGGGCGAATGCATTTAGCATGAAGGGCACATTCATTCACTGATACTCGTTAATTTCGAATTTTCCTTATTAAACTAACAAATGCCACTTGATGATACATTCTTCAACGACAAAACATTTCCAGGGCTGACGCCCTCAATAATAGAATTTTAATGGAGCCTACTCCAAACACATTAACTATTTATGATGGCGAGTAGTTTATGGTCGCGAAAAAGTTACAACTAGACTTTGTGATTCGTAATGTGGCCACATTTTGTGAGACACGTGACTGCGGTCGCGTAGCGGTATTCCTTGGTGCTAACCAATGGAAAAGAGCAACCTGCTATGTAAAAAAATTCCAGAAACTTTTTGGTCCCTCGTAGAGTGTCTAGCATGGTTCATCAGAATTATTTCCATGTTCTTGTCAGGCCTTGCAGAACAACTTACAAATACGATTGTTTACCAGAAAAATGAAGCTTTGTTGACTTCAAAATTAACTCCAGGAAGAGATAACGCAAACGATTCCTACAAATTCAGCCAATGCTGTTTGAAAACCCTGTTAAGAACTCTTTCGAGAGCCGAGACCTAGAAGTCGGCTAAGAAACAGCGATGACAATAAGGGTCCCCACTGTACCTTCAAGAATTAGTGCTATACCTAGTAGATGTAAAATGTGTGGCTGTTAACAAACGTGAATCAAGCACGGACTTTTCTTCTTTGAGACCAAAAACTTCACCATTTTTTAGCCTCAATGGCCAATAATCAAGTTAGCCAACTGCCCCACTCTTACTGGTTATTGTACTTCTACTTCAGCTATGCCCTTCACGTCAAAAATTGGGCTTCCAAAAGGTCACGAAAACTTAAATTTCCCTTTATTGACCGTGATCATGTATACCTTGCCTACGCGGCACCCCTTCCAGAGGTTCAGAGGTGAAGATCTTTATCTCAACGGCCGGGCACGACCTCGTCCGAACTTGAAAATTCCATTGAAGAAAAATAACAAAGCTCGCTCCATCACGAAAAAAAAANAAAAAAAAACGTCAAGGGCATGAAAAATGGCAGAACAGCTTAAAAACAACTAAATGAGGTGCAGCTTATGTAGGCGCAGAAAGGAATGGATGGTAATGGGTTCCGCCCGATTTGATGAGGACAGCCGGCAAAAACCTCGAATTGGACAATGTGCATTTCACTGATGTCGAACAAAAATGAATAGCAGTAATACAAAATCGTAGACGGGACGGGAAATGGATAATTCAAGACCCTAGCACAAGCAAAATATTGTTGTGACGATAGAATGTTGACAAAAATGTAGCTTTTCGTAGAGGAAGTGGCTCAATACTACTTTGGTGTGACTTACTGGAGCTCGGAGGCTCTACTAGTTGAAATTTAGTAGGTATTCCAGAGAAGTCGAGTTTAAATGGAGCAGTGCAAGGCCGTCCAGCGGTCGTATAGTCGGCCATTTACTGAACGGGAACATTAGAGCACATGCAGCAGCCGTAACGACCCAAGAAGATATCATCTTTGGCGTCCTCTGAAAACTCTTGCTCCCAAGGCGTGTTTTTTGGAGGCCCTCCTTCAAATTGCCACCTATTGCTGCCAATAAATGTCTATCAGATGCATGCGCTTTTACATCTGAAGACACTCTAAGACTCTCTGTCGGCTACGTGATGAACAAGATGGCCTCTTGAAGTGTCTCTGGTTCGGAGGAAAGACTAACAGCCGGATGTAAAAACCATTTGTTACGGCATTCGATATAGCATTTGAATCTAATTTGTAAAAATAATAATAGGGCGCCCGCGGGGTTGACTTCACTACAACTAAAAGTCTGCGTTCAGCATAAATCTAATCGTGAAAATAAGAAAACTTATCGTTGTCCTTAATCAGGTTCCATCAAATTCCACCCTCACTTAAGTGGAGCCTCTTCAAAAAACACTACTCATTACCACTCATTATTGCAAATTACTCAAACTATCTCTCTATTGTTTGGGAACCTGTGAATAAGTAGTAAAATGGAAGAAGACCTTCTGATACATTGCAACTGTAGGAATAATTCAGTAGCAAGCTGAGCCATGCTGAAATCAGTAACCTAATTCAAAAACTCAACCAATGCAATAAGTTATGTATGCCATGGCGATGATGCGCCCCTGACTCCATCTGATGGAGGTTCCATCTTGTATTAGGTCAATAGAATCAATAGGTCAATAGATAGAAAGAAGAATAGGGACTCTGGCAACAGGTCAATAGAGGAAACAAGAGTCAGTCCCAATTATTTCTAGAGCAATAAACTACCAATTTTTTGGAAACCATTTCCAGCTGATATAGTGACATCAAGATGAATAACCGGTCGGATAAAGCTTACAGTTTGAATGGGTAACTGATCAGATAACCACAAGGAAACAGGAAAAATGATATTGACCACTGGACAAACATACTTTGATGGTAACAATATGACCATGATTTTTGGTGCAGCAACTGCCTTCTGGGAGAGATTAGAAACCGATGATACCAATCGTCCTATTTGCCACGAAATCCTAGGCGACTCTTTTTTATCACGAAGTTTTTCAACTTTTTTCTCGGGAGCCGTACTAATGGTTTTTGACAAACGTGTTGTTCTGGCATTCTAATCCCTTTCTCATCAAATTTAGTGCTAGCTTTTCAAAGTAATTAGCAACCGGAACCCTTTTGCTTGCAAGAAACAAAGTAAGGGTTCCATAGCTTGCAAGCAACTGAAGCCATAGGTTTACTGCAGGATCGAAGCTGTAATACCTTAACGTTCTTTTTACAGATGGACTACCTAGCCAGCCAGGACTGCATAACACATGGTCACTTTGGAAGCCTGCCTACGAAATATGAGGTTGAGCATATGTGCTCAAAGTGAGCCCAGCGCATTTACAGCCTTCAAATGAGCTGTAGAAAAGGATCACTTCTGCTTCAGAATAAGCCACTCATCCTACTGCCACTCGAAATACAAATAAATCAAGTTTTGAGTAAGTATCTATTTCCTGGATCATCATGTGGAAGTGATACCACCTGCTACCAGTCTTGTTACCTATCTGATATGATGAATACTAATCGCAATCTTTACCTACTCATTACTGTTTATGTTTGATATATCCTAAGCCGAAAAAAGTGTCTACGGAGCATACATACCTTTGAATAACAAATATGTAACAAAATACACAGAAACGCCGTTCTTCGTTCAACCGCCTCAGTAATTTTCATATTCTAGTTGGAATTACCTTCATTTTCGCTTCAGTATAGATAATGTCCGGCGTGATTCCAAGACATTCAGCTGTCTTTTCCATCATGGCTTCTTCGAGGCGTTTGCACAGTTGTCGTGCATGGTCAAGTTCGTCTGCCCTTTTATGCCGTCGTTCGATTTTCTGATCTTCCTAGAACGGCAAGTTCAGAGTACGATGGAAGGATCCCACGACGAGCCTACATCTACGAACGATCTGACCAGATTGTTTTCACATCACTCTGTCCGACTTATCATCAAATAACAACAATAAATATAAAAATAAAGCAACTATGTTGACCGTCTACTGGAGCTCATTAGCTTACTGGTACTACTACAAGACTCTAAAAACGTCAACGTACATACACTTTTTACTAGAGTTTGTATAAGACGATTTGCTGCTTGTAGATCTTCTGGATTGGTACTGTTTAGCAGTTCCTTCAGTAATCGTGCCTTCTCTTCGTCTTCGAAAACCGCTAGTTTAGGTGTAGTCACTGAAAGTTAATCGAACAATTAAATTTAAAGTTAATAATAAACAATATTTACTAATATCAAAAGTGAGTTTTCAAATAATCAATGATGGATCAGTGCTAAGGGCTATTGCACATGTGAAATCTATTCATCCTGGTGGTTCAGCTCTCAACGATGTACGAGTCAACCTGTCGGGATCTAACCCTGACAATTTGAAGTCGAAACTGTAAGTAAGTAAATCAGTAAATACAAAGGAAAGAACTCACATTGAACCACCATAATCTCATCTTCGGGTATGACTGGATCGGCTGTTATTAAGTTATGCTCTCTCAGAGAATCGTATACCTTAACAAGTAAAGGTTACTGTTATGCCTTATAATAAATAGTAACTGATTTGAAGTCAAAAAAGAAGTGAGCTAAGATCTGAAGAGATCGTCAATGATCAGCCAGTAAGTTCAGTTGAGCCAAATGCGTACTTCTTTGAACTTTTCCACATGCCGCATTGATCGCTGCCATGAGTACAGTAATTTAATCGATAGTTCTTTTACCTGAAATTACAATGTCTAATAAAAGGAGCCCTTTTTCCTCTCTATCATTGAAGTGGTAAAAACGGTAAAAATTAGTGCTACAGCTGATAATTTAACTCTAGACGTCGTAAGATGAACATACCTCAGGCGACGTCTGTGCTCCTAAATACTTCGGTGTGATCAACTTCACAATTTGATTCAGAAATCGAAATTTTCCAACGCGGTTGTGAACTTTTTCGCCACACTTCCTGACCAGCTGGTCGACTGCCTGAACGTCAATAATCGGATGGGCAATAGCCTTTCAATAGTTTACACATGAAGGAAAATTATTTCTCAAAGGTACTGTCTAGAAACAGTTAAGTATATACAAATGAATAGAAAAGGAAATATTAGAGTATTCAGTGAATCACCTGCAATGAGTACAGAGCTTCATCCTGGTCAGGGCTGACTATTTTGTGTCCCAAAATGCCAGTAGCCACCATAGCGCCATCGGCCTGCAATCCCAAATTTAGCCTTTCTTAAACCTCGATTCCGGCTTTACTCGACTTGTTATTGAGGCGTATTTCTCAGTAATGATTGACTGTCATCTGATCAGAAGCAACACTAACTCGGTAGTGATGAACCACTTTGGAGAGATGAATAAACATGGACAAAAACACCTGCCAGAGTTATCGTTCTGGGCAAGATGCTCCCTCAGTTCGTGCATTCCTGGTTGCTCTGCTTTCAGGTTGGCACTTTCCGGACCATGTAAACTTTCTAATTTTTCGATGATATAATGGGCATGGAAATTCCTTACAAAGCAATTCAAAAGTAAGCAATTAATAAGAAGTATTGTAAAGTGCTTTCGTCCCGCATCAGAGGTTTCATAGCAGCTACATAGCACAAGGAAAGATTCTGGTATCAAACTAGATAGAACAATAAACTTTCTGTTCTTGGTAGTGGTCACTTGTCAACGATCCTGATCAATGGGGTGAGGACCACAACTTCCATCTTCAGAGAAACTTGAAAATCATTTAGTCCTTTTCATAGATTTTGTGAAGCAATAGGGAAACGATACATATTCTATTTACAAGTAGGAAAATATATACTTTACATTACTCTACTACTTTGAGAATCAGCACAGTAACGTGTCTGTAACACTAAAGCAGCTCATTGTTAATCCGTTGTGGATTTTTGATCACGGCTTTCTAAAGAAAAATTTGACGCCCCCGGTCTGTATTACGTCGTGAATCATCCTTTATATATATAATAAATATGAGCTTATTGTGAAAGCTGGTCAGCAACGAACATAAGAATATGTATAAAAAGACGAAAAATTACTCGTCCGAGACCTTCTTGAATCAATGGAGACAAGGAAAAAGTCATGACGTATGCAAGGACCAAAAAAGTCAAAGTAATCTGATTGAAATGTTATAAAAACTCTTAAAGCCTGAAGCTGAAAAGTCTCAAGTAAGCTAAGAAGGAAAGCCGTGAGAACCTGGAGCTGGATAATTGCACTTTCCCATAGCAATTACATAATACCAAGATTTTCTTTGAATTGAAACCCCTCAATCTCAACCAAGCGACAACAAAATCGTACTAGTCTTTCAGAAGTGTAAGTCATTTCAGCTATTTTCAAAAAACCATTAGAAAAACTGTAAAAATGAAAAAAGAACCTCGTAATTAACTCGATCACAGAGCTTTTGCACGTACTGCTTTCGAGTTTCTGCGTCTATGAACGGATCCGTAGAACGACCTGAACAGCTGCTCCTCAGAAAAATTCATTTTTCAATTTAATTTTTACAAAGAGAAATCGATACAATTGACTCACTTATCCAGTATTCAATCGGTCTTTCGGTTTCATTCTGCTCGACCATAATCTATGAACGTCACTGCTACTTATGAGGTCGGTTTGAAACGATTTTCTGGAAATGACAGGGTGGTCTCTCTCGAAAACGGGAATTACGAAAATCAATAGAGCAGCACTAGCACAAGTAATGACATTAACGAAGAATACTCTGGCCTAGGCATGCCCCAAGAGGCTTGCAAAGCTCTGATGCAAGCCAGCTGCAAGGGGAGAGGTTTTGGAAAGCTCTGGCTTGTCAGAAATAATGGGTTCTCCAATGGCAGCCGGAACAATGCTCCAAGAATTACAGTAAAAAAGCGGAAGTTTAGTCAAATGGGTGGACTTTCCGGGGAATCTTGAATAACCTTTTTGAAAACTGAATATCGGCCACGACAATGTTGCTGAGATGGAAGTTCGAGCAGAACCTTCAAATCGGATAATGTTCGTAGAATCTTGGGCTATATGCAGATGCGGTATATATGAGAGTTGCCATCTATTGATCGCAGCTAGCTGGAGACGGGGGACGGGGGACGGGGGGAGGCATGGATGGCAGGCAGAGCGCAGCGGAGGTCTGGTCTAGGTGCAGAGCCAAGCCAAAACAGAGAAGAGTAGAAATCGCCTCGAGCCTCTGGCTGACGACGGCCGGGCAGACGTCGTTGTTGCGCATGTCAGTCAGCCAGCTAATCGTCGACACGGGCCACTCGCTCCCAATACCTCTCCGACATCATCGGATGCATGGAATAATCCTGACTTTTCCCACAGAAAGCGAGAGCACGCGAGCATGGGAACATGATTAATGGGCGACTTTTATTCGCAGAACATCTAAGCTATGTGCATGACCGCCATAAAAGCTGAAATGACCAGGAGAAGTCCTTCATGGAGACACCGTGGAAGAACACACCAAGTGATTAGAGCTGAGAGGATGAACATTCAGAAGCAGCCTTCTCAGACCTCCTCAGTAATTACTGCTTGCAGAAGCAAAAACCAATTACGAGTAGAAATGTTGTTCAGACCTAGACAAACTCCTTGATTAATTATGAATGGTATCGTCTAATCATTCTAGCCACCGAGTGTATTTAGCATCGAGCTAAGCAATGAAAAATGATTTTACTAACGAAAATTGACAGTTTAAATTATTTTATTTGTCGTATTATTACTCACTGAACTTAACCTTATAATTCTCTATCATCAAAATGACTCTACAGAGTCTACGGAAAAAGGATTCTTTTCGGTCTTCAAAGTCTTCGAAAAAAAAGATTCTTCAGACTACAAAGTATATATAACTCAAGAAAAAAAAACTTCTGAAAACTCAAGAGTGAAGGAGGAGAAATGCTCGAAGTAAAAGTGGGATGAGCCTCGCTTCAAACTGTTTCTACTGGGTTNAAGAGGGCGAGTTGAAAATGGGGCCGAAAAAGAGTCGCAATCGGTCATTTCGGCAAAGGGGCTCAATGAGTTTCACTTCGTTTATGGGAGATATTGATGCAGGCATTCGAGAGAAGCAAAATGAGGAGTTCAGGAGCACTTTTTCAGGGCTAGAATTCGGGGGCGGGGTTCTGCCCAGAAAAAAACTTCCTCATCGGGTTGTTTCGTCCTGACTATAAAACGCCTAATCCCGAACGTGCGCAGTGCCGTCATCAATTGAGCTCAAGGGAAAGCTGGTCGTAAAAGACGGTGCAGTCTGTTTTTCCCACCAAATGCCTTCTCCGAGCATTCTGAAGAACCTAAAGTGACAAGTAAGAAGCCCGAATATATGTAAGTGTGACAAGGGATAGAAAGGGCAAACAGTTGACTTAAAGTTTTTCTACAGAGTAAATAGAGTTCGTGCAACATAGCCGGGTAACACAGCAAAAGTAACCAAAGTGAGCTGAGCTGAGCTAAGCTGCTGACATCATCCTGCACAACTTTGCCTGCCTCTGGTTTGAAAGTGCAACTTTTATTCGATACAGAGACATACGTAAATGACTTTGATAGCGTCATCGAGGGAGGTGTTTTTTGGGCATACCCGTCAAGTAAGTCAATTGGGAAGCAATCGAACGTGTTCACAGAATTGCCAGACAAATTTAACTATGGTTTCGCCACAGAAATGGTTTTTCTCTTTCATTTGGTCTCTGTATAAAAGCTCTCAGCTGCCAGGCAACTGTCCCTAGAGGGTTGACTCCGCTCTTTTGCATCTCTCTCAAATCGATATTCCTTGATTACTAATTAGTAAGCTCTAGTAGAAGGTCGAACTTGACATTTACAACTGAAGTATTCTCAGCCCGCATCGAAAGCGCAATAGTTCCTGCTAATACTTTTTTTGGTATCGTACTTGGCTTAATTTCAGTGACTCAATTCTACGAGGGTTGCCCTTTATATTTTGAGATTTGGCAACACTAGTGTAGCAATCTAGCAACTGACACCACTATCGTAAAGCTTGACCATTTTGAGGTTACGTTGCAAAATTTGAGCACGATTTGTATTGTTTACACTAAGTTATAAGATTTTGTTTAGGCCAAGTTATGGAGTTGAATCGTAAGCATTTTCGCGCGAGTATTTTCTGCAACTTTCGACTTGAACTAACTCAACAGCAATGCATGGATGAACTTAGTTCAATTTTT